CTAGTAATGGTTCATTCAATGCATGAGTCAACCTTAATGAGAAACGTAAATCTAACAAGAGAGACTACTCAAACATATTCATGAGAGACAAAGTCATAATGGTTTGAATAATGCTTTAAAGATACTAATGGCAAAAGAAACAGTAGAGAAATAAGTAAAGCAAAAGAGTTCAAGATCTTCTCTGGATTTGTAGTTCATATCTCTCTCTCTACTCCTAGGCTCTTCTCAAAGTCTGGCTACATGCTTCTCTCAATTTTTTGTCTCAAAAGATCTCTCTTCAGAAGTCTGTCTAAACTAGTACATAACCCTCATAATATAGCCTACAGGCGGTCAAGGACTTAAAGTGTAATTATTAAAACTCATGTGAAGCAATTAGAGCTTCTAATCTTTATTTAATCGCTTGGAGGACTTCTGTATCGATCGATGTAGAATGTATTCAATCGATCGATATGTGTAATATCTCATCGGTCGATTGTTCTCAACGTACGTCTGTCGATAGCTTTAACATCGGTTTTCTCATATCTTCATAAAGTCTCCATTTTAGCTCAATAATAGCTAGTTTACACCAATAAGTACCTGAACCTGTAAAGCTCTAAAAAGACACTAGAAGTATCCTTTTGTTTCCAAAAACATATATAAATCATGGTTGAAAGTGGGTAAAATCCATGACATATCAATCGTTTAAGGCATCCTAGTTTTTCTGTGCTTTTGTCTTTACCATTTTTTCATCTACTAATAAAAGCTTGAGTCCTTGTGATGTTTGTTTTCGAGCTAAAAAAACTCGTGAAGTTTTTCCTGACAGTATTAATAAATTAGATGATTTTTCCTCTAATTCATGTCGATGTATAGGGTCCATATCGCATCCATTCGTCTTGTGGTGCTGTATACTTCCTCACTATTGTCGATGATTTCTCAAGATCGGTTTGGACGTACTTAATGTTGGAGAAATCAGAAGTCAAAACAATCCTTAAAAACTTCATTGTATACACAGGAAAACAGCTTGGTAAAGTCATAAAGATGGTCCGAAGTGACAATCGAACAGAGTTTATGTGTCTCTCAGACCACTTTCATGAGAATGGATCATTCATCAGACCTCATTCTTAACGTGTCTTGTGCGCTATTTTTTCAGGCAAGTTTACCTATAACCTTTTGGGGTGAAGCTGTTCTAACTGCGGTTACCTTATTAATAGAACGCCCACGTCGCTTCACAAAGGCCGTTCTCCTTATGAGATTATTCATGGTTGCTTGATATACACATCGAGTCACTAAAAGCAAAGACAAATTTGGTGAGCGAAGTCATCTCTGCATCTTTGTTGGCCATCCATTTGGGAAAAAAAAGTTACAGAGTATATGATATGGAACAAGATGTGGTGTTCCGAGAGGACGTGTTTCCATATGCTACAAAACCTGCATCGACTCCTACTATCACTCCAATGGAGTCTAACAATGAGGACTGGAGTTTTACTATTTCACCAGTTCCAAAGGTCATCCTAGATAGGGGGAGTTCTTCTGTCTTTTCTCCCTCACCTGAGTCACATGACCCTGTCAGTACTAGCAACGATCCTTTGCCAACTGAAACCGTTATCGACGAAAGCGATGAAACTCTTGAAGAAGCTATCAACGAAAGCGATGAAACCCTTGAAGAAGTTATCAGAACTGCAGCTGATTTAACCGGTGGTACTGGTGTCGTGGGTTTCAGACAGTTACTGAAGATCTTGGTCGTGGAAAACGTCAACATGTTCCATCTGTTAAGCTTAACGACTATGTTACGTATAACGCACAAGCAAAAGATTTAAGTCCCCATCACGCTCCCGCCGCCTCCGTTCCTCATACCTCATCTTCGGTCCAAGGTAATACACTTTACCCTTTGACAAAGTTTGTCTCTGACTTTTACTTTACTCGATAGCAACAAGCTTTCTTGGCTGCAATTACAGCCGTTGTTGAACCCAAACATTTTAAAGAAGCTGTTGGTATTGATGTATGGGATGATTCCATGACTGAAGAAGTCGTTGCTCTTGAATATCAACATATGTGGGACATCTGTGATCTTCCTCCTGACAAGGTTACCCTCGGATGCCAATGGGTCTACAAGATCAAATATAACACTGACGGAACGATCCGGCGACACAAATCTCGTGTTGTTGTTATGGGTAATAACCAGGTAGAAGGGGAAAACTATAACGAAACCTTTGCTCCCATTATCAAAATGACCACGGTCCATGTGTTTCTTCGGTTGGTTGCAGCAAATCAATGGGAAGTTTACCAAATGGATGTCAACAACGCTTTTCTTCACGGGGATCTTGAAGAAGAAGTATACATGAAACTACCTCCTGCATTTCATCATTCTCACCCCAATAAAGTGTGTCATCTCCTTAAATCTTTGTATGGCCTTAAGCAAGCCCCGCAGTGTTGGATTAAGAAGTTATCTGATGTGTTACTCAAGTTCGGTTTTCTGCAGTCTTATGATGACTACTCATTGTTCATCTACACTCTCCAAAACATACAACTTTTTGTGTTAATATATGTTGACGACTTGTTTTTAAGTTGTAATGATAGTCGTATGGTATAAAAATTCAAAGAATACTTGAGCAAATGCTTTTCTATGAAAGACTTGGGAAAACTTAAATATTTTCTTGGTATAGAAGTAAGTCGTGGTCCAGAAGGAATGTTTCTCCCTCAGCGCAAGTATGCTTTGGATATCATTGCAGACACAGGCAATCTTGGTTGCAGGCCGGCTGCTACTCCTCTTGAACAGAACCATCAACTCAGCAAAGTCGAAAGTCCGGTCTTGGCTGATCCACGCAAGTATAGGAGACTTGTTGGTCACTTACTTTACCTTCTCCATACCAGACCCGAGTTAAGTTATTCGGTCCACATTTTGTCTCGGTTCATGCAAGCTCCTAAAGAAGCTCATTGGGAGGCAGCTCAATGAGTAGTGCAGTTTCTAAAAGGCTCTCCTGGACAAGGAATTATGTTAAGTTCGTCTAAAGACATGTCATTAACCACCAACTGTGACTCTGATTGGTCTTCTTGTTCCGAAACCTGTCGGTCTCTAAGTGCACACGTCATTTTGGTTGGTGATTCGCGTATCAGTTGGAAGACAAAGAAGCAAGATACGGTGTCCCACTCATCCGCTGAAGCAGAATACCGAGCTATGTATGATACTCTCAAAGAAGTCAAATGGTTACGAAAAATGTTGCATGGATTCGATATCAAACAGGCTCCAACTCGCTTCTTCTGTGATAGTAAAGCGGATCTATATATTGCTACGAATCCAGTCTTTCACGAACATACCAAGCACATTGAAAACGACTATCATGCGGTTCGCGATGCTGTTCGAGATAGTTTCATCATTCTTCATCACATTCGTACCAAGGAGCAGGTCGCAGATATTCTCACCAAAGCACTAGCACGGGTTCAGTTCAATACCTTGATGTCCAAGTTGGGCGTTTGTGATCTTCACGCTCCAACGTGAAGGGGAGTATTACGATATATACGATATATGTTATATTGTATATTCTATTGATGTGATAATGTAAATTTTCCTATTCTCTAGTTAGAGATAAGTCTAATTTCCTAATTATCAAAAGGAAAGGTTTGTTAAACCGTCATTGTCTTGGGTATAAATACTCAACTCCTATAGCATAATAAAACAATTCAATTTGATATCTTATTCTACAGTTCTGCATCAAAACTGAGTCTTGAGTAGGTTTGCAAATTCGGTTTATATACTAATTCAGTTCTGGTATTTTGTTTTTTTTTGTTTTTGGTTAGTTTGGTCCGCCCAAAATCTTGTCGAATTGAACTAAACAAAAGCATGCATCAGTTTTAGATTGTAAGTAGTCTGTTTTGTTTCTGCTATAATTGAATTAGATGTTATTGACTTATTGTAATCATTTTTCTTTTAATTTGCAAGTTTCTCTTATCAATGTTTTTTTTGTAAAAGTCTCTTATCAATGTTTGAAGCTTTGTTTCTTTAATATTTGGTCAAATAGCATGATGTGTTGATTCTTTTTGTGCGGTTAAATTGTAAAAAATTGTTAACAAAAAAAATTGTAAAAAACTAAACGAGCAGTTTTTCTTTTACAAGAAAATACTTTTTTTTGGTGTAATGAGAAAGTTAAATACTTTTAGTTTGTCTTTTGCAAGAAAATATTTTTAGATATATCTTCTTGCAAAAGTTAAACAAAAAACAAGAACGGAAGTAGGTGTTATATCCACAGCGCCATTAGGTTGGTGAAAGTGCGCTTATTGCGCCTGGCAGTGATGGTGTTCCTCACATCCATGTCCATACATCCATGTCCATTAATCTGAAGGTTTTGTCCTGAGAGAGATGGGGGGTGTTATGGAGAGCATTGTTCCTATGCCTCCAGACATGATATATAAGCACATGGGTGATCCGTTTCCTTGAGTGGTTGGAGCTGGTGTCGATTGATGAGCACATGATGTGTTGATTTCTCTTATAGTTAAATTAGGTAAGGACTCAATATTAATTTATAGCTTATGACTCATTCTTGATGAGACCAATCACTGGTTTATATAATCCTGAAGGTCTATATATGAAAAATGATGTATGTATAATGATCGAGACTTTGCTTTTTCCCCACGGTGTTGCTTGATCGTTTCAACATGAATTTATGAAGTGAGTGTTCATCACGCACATTTGAACATGTTACCTCATGTTTCATCTCTTTAACACCTCTTCTAATCTATGCTTCGATTTCTTGACCTTAAATTTGCCTAACTCTTTGTTTCTTTCTTTTGACTTTGGACCAAATAGGTGATATTTGTGGCTCTGTTGACTCAGACTCATTCAAATAGGTGATGATTAAGGGTCAACGAATCAATTAGAGTCTTAGGATTAGCACTATATAATAAGATTGGTAATCAATGTATGATCTTATAAACTCTCACCATTTGTATGATCTTTTAAACTCTCACCATCATATCCAAAACCAATATTCAAAATCATTTCATTTGTTTTTCTTTCTAGCAACCCCATGGCTTCGTTCTTGGATGTTCTAAATGAGGTTGTGGATATCTTAAATGAATCTAGCAAACTCTTTCTCAAGAACAAGAAGTTGATGTTCTCTATATTGGTATTCCATCTATTGCACAATGGTTTAGTTTACCTGCTCAGTGTCTTTGCCATCAGACCCGAGATAACAAACTTGATTCAAGAATCTAGATTGATACCTATGATGGATCCAACCACCCCGGAATACTTCGTCCATCTTATAAGAGTCTTTGATGATTTTTCCAAATTTGCGGTTTCTTCATGCATCTTTGCCACAGTGTCCTCCATCATCAACTTTTTATCGGTTCAAGTCATCGTCCATACTTCTGCCCTTACTCATAAAGATGACAACGTCAAGATCAAAGATCTTTCGGTTTTGATCCTTAAATCTTGGAAGGGACCTCTTTTGACTAGTTTCTACATTGTTTTGTTCAGTTTTGGATATTGTTATCTCCTTTTAATAGTTTATTTCCCTCTTTTTTGGTCATCCCATTCCTTGGCAGACTTGGCAGACAAGTCTGCCGCTTTGTTTGTTCTGTTTGCAGTGTTTGAGTCTTCTTTAGGTATTGTCTGGTACCTATCTTTGGTCATATCGATACTCGAGGAAACTTATGGGATCCAAGTTTTGGGGAAAGCTGCAAAGATCGTTAAAGGGATGAAACCGAAACTATTTCTTTTGAATCTTTTCTTCGTATTATTGTCTTTCGGTTTTATTCAGACAGTGAGATGGATCGATTTGAAACGCTCATTTGCAGTTACCTTACCCACCGGTTTGGTCCTTGTGAGTTCCATCTTTGCAGTGAGGACGTTTCAGCTTGTGACTTACACCCTTGCCTATTTCCAATGTATGGGACTTCAGGGCAAAGACGTTGAGTCCCTGAGGGATGTTGAATATACGAAACTACCTTCCACTACGCTGATGGGTGCATTACCTTGAAGTATTTGAAGAGGGCATTAATATGAATGGATTGTTTGTTTGTTTTGGGAATTGCCAAGATGTATATTATCACACTATCAAAGGTTTGGTTGACTATCTAGCAAGATATATTTTTGCTTTTTTTTTTTATAGTAAGATGTCGCATTACATGACATGTATATATTTCGATCAAAATACCAAAACCACTAGATTTACAATCAATAATAGAACAAGTTACGGATATAAGTAGATCGTTATTTCCCAACTTTTTTTCGGGACTTCGGCATCACAAACTTACAGTCTTGAGTACGCCTACGAGTAGAGATGGTGGACACAAGTCAAGTACTTGCCATTTTTTGTTTACCTAGTATTTGGCTTAGTTTGTTGAAGTAATGAAATTTGGACTTGTATTTGGTTTATTAAAAACAAGTCTTGCATTTTCAAATACTTGCTAAAACTGATATTCTTGCAAGTACTTGTTTACTACTTATTAATTATGAACTAATTTATAAATTATTATATAATTATTTAATAATAATTTATTAGTTTTAGTTATTTGAACCTTGTAATGAATTTAAGAAAAAAGTAGTTAGTTATAATTCTAATCTAAAATTTTTTAATAAAGAATATTTATTTAGTTTTCATATGTTTTAAGTTTATATATGATAAATATAAAATTAAAAAAAAAACTCTAAAATATTTCTATTATATATCATTTTTAATTCATTTACCGTATAAACAAGTAATTTGATTATAATTTAGAGATTTTTTGTTCAAAAGTAAAAACGGATAATAAGTCAAGTAATAAATCACGAGTAATAAGCCAATAAGGCCAAGTAGTTATTTTCATTTTAGTATTTGGTACTTGTCTTGTACTTGTAAGTAATTGAAATTAACAACATGATACTCTACTTGAACAAAACGAGTACTTGACTTTAAAAACCAAGTACGAATCAAGTAGCGAGTACAAGCCGAATATCAAGTAATTGTGCCCACCCCTACATGCGAGCAATAGCGCCCTGATAGGAAGCTTTAGAAGCATTAGCTTCTGGCCGTATTTACGTTAAATAAATTATCGGCTCTCTTTCAACAAATGTTTCTTCAGGTTAGTTAGTTAAAATCTTCATTTCTTATCCAAGTGACCAGGGTTCAATGTATCCATAAAGCTATTTTTATTCTTCTTTTAATTATAATGGCCGGAAATTTTTTTTTGCTTGTGGCCTACAGAACTTGTGGGTTGGGCCTGCCTGCGAATTTAGTTTATACGGGTGGTTCAGTTCTGGTAATTCGGTTTTTAGGTTAGTTTGGTTCGCCCAAAATCTTGTCGATTTGAACTGAACAAAAAATATGCTTCAGTTTTAATTTTGTAATATTCTATTTTGTTTCTGCTATTATTAAATTAGATGATATTATAATCATTTTTTTTATTTTAATTATTGAAAGAAATTTTTGAAGCTTTGTTTCTTTAATGTTTGGTCAAATAGCATGATGTTTTGATTTCTCTAATAAATAAATTTGATAAGGACTCAACATTAAGTTGTAGTTTATGGCTCATTCTTGATGAGACCAATAGCGTCATTGGTTTATATAATCCTTAAGGTCTCTAAAAAGATGACAAAGTCGTAATCAAAGAGTTTCCGGCTCTGACCTTTAAATCTTTGAATGGACCTCTTGTGACCTATTTCTACATTTTTTTTCTTCAGTATTGGCTATTATTTTATCTTTTTGTAATGTTTCCTCCTCTGATGCAGTGGAAACAACGATAAACACATTTCAACAAATGAGTTATGGAACTATGTTTGGGACCTGCCAGCTCAACCAAGGGATTCTAGAAAATCCTCATTTGGGACCTGTTTCTTGATCAATGAACTAATCAAATCAACACAAGGGACAGAGAATACTATTCTCCCAAAAGACAAAACTCTTTATTAATCAAATCAAATCTGAATACAACCTTAGGATTGAATGTCTATTTATAATAAAACCTTAAATCTAGAAAACCATAATCTTAAGTAAAATAGGAAAATTATTAAAATATGGAAAATAAGAATAAAAGGTAAATATCTAAATAGACTAACAAATACTAAAGATATGTGGATAATTTCCAAATATCTTAGCTCCATCAGGTCTCGCCGGCCAAGAAAAATTCATCCTCGAATCTTCAATCTTGTTCTTGTCACCAAAATATGATTTTATACGAATTTTGCATGTTGTTGATTTTCCAGAAATTTGTTTCTGCATAATTTTTGCACGGATCTGTTCGTATCCAGATTCTTCACAGATACGTTTTTGTACAAAGTTTGCACGGTTCAAATTCTCGAAAGAATCTTTTTTGAAGATGAAGTCCACATGATGAACATCGTCTTCATACACGTCATATATCGGATCCCCATAGATCTCTCGATAGATCTCATGTTTCTCTTCTCTCTTAACAAAAGGACTTTCGTCCAAGATAGGATATATGCTAATACTTATCATAACATCCAGAATCATCTTCGATTGAGAAATCAAAGGAACCTGACTCTAATACCAACTGATGTAGCGGAAGCAATGATAAACACAGCTCAACCAAAGAGCTATGGAACCACGTTTGGGACCTGCTAGCTCAACCAAGGGATTCTAGGAAATCCTCACTTGGGACCTGCTTCTTGATCGATGAATCTAATCAAATCAATACAAGGGATAGAGAATACTATTCTTCCAAAGGACAAAACTCTTTATTAATCAAATCAAATCTGAAGATAACTTTAGGATTGAATGCCTATTTATAATAAAACTTTAAATCTAGAAAAACTCTAATCTTAGTTAAAATAGAAAAACTATTAAAATATGGAAAATACAAATAAAAGGTAATTATCTAGATAAACTAATGAATAGTAAAGATATTTGGATAATTTTCAAATATCTTGCTCCATCACCCTCTCCTTTTGTTATCTACAAATTTTGGTTCTGTGGCAGCCAAGTCTTGGGTTTTTTTTTGTTCTGTTTGCGTGCATATAGCTATCGTTTGGTACCTATCTTTGGGGAAAGCTTCAAAGATCGTTAAAGGGATGAAACCAAAACTATTCCTCTTGAATCTTTTCTTAGGTTTAGTTTCCTTCGGTTTCTTTCATCTAGTGACGTGGGTTGATTTCACCGTTCATTTGAAGTTACCTTAACCACCGGTTGGGTTCTTGTGAGTTTGATCGCTGCAGTGAGAATGTTTCAGCTTGTGAGTTACACCATTACCTATTTCCAATGTAAGAGACTCCAAGGCCAAAACGTTGAGTCGCTGAAGGATGTTGAATATATGAAACTATCCTCCTCTACGCTGATAGGATTATAGGAGCATTGCCTTAAGGTTTGGTTGAATATCAAGATTGATATATTTTTGTTATGTTCTTGCCGTGTAAGTATTTCGATTAAAATGTCAACGGCACTGGATTTCAATCAATAATAATAATAACTAGATTTTGTTTATTTTCACTTTTATATACATAAATATTTGTTTTAGAACATAAGTGATATATATTTTAACGCTAATCATATACTTCAGTGTTTATATAACTATTTCAAATAGAATAATTTTATAATTTACATGTTATATTAATCAATTTTTAAAAATCATATGTATTTGTCAATTTTTATTATATCTTTAAGTTATTTTATTTGCGTTTAGTTATTACGTAAATTAATATATTCATAAGAAAACATATTTGAAAATTATTTTATATTTAATTTATGGTAGATTCTAATCCGACCTTTAAAGCTGGATTTCTTTTTACTAAAATTTCTATGTTTATTCATTTTAGATGATATATTATTTTATATAAAATTATATTAAGCCGTTCTGCTGTAATATTATATTTTAAAAATAAATATTTTATATTTATGAAAATAAATTAATAAATTTATAATTTAATATACTTTTATCATATTTAGTTCAATATAATATTTATATTTTAACATGATGATTATGACTATGAAGTAAATCAAGTAGAATATAATTAAAAAAATTTATTTTATAACGATAACATCAAAATATATTAACTTATTGTAAAATAATATTACAGAGATTTATAAGAATTTTTGATATTTAATATATAAATATATATTTATATTTAAACGAAAATATATCATGATTAAATTAATTATAAATATTTTATATTATTACCTTTAATAAATATATGTTAATTAGTATATATGTATTTTATGGTTTGCTAATGTTAACCCGTCTTACCAATATATTAGATTTTATTTTTGAACATAAATATTTTAAACTTACGAAAATAATATATATATATATATATATATATATATATATTAATTTAATACAAATTTATTATATTTAGCTTAATATAATAGTTTTCTTTTAATATGATTGGTTATGATTATATAATATATAATATGATATATTTTTTTTATAAACTTAATTGAATATATTAATGTATAATAGTATTTCAAACTACTTTCGAAATTAGTGAAAATATTTAAAGATAATATCGAAAATAAAAATCTAAAAAAGAATCTTTAAAACAGATTTGTTAGAATTTGTATAAATAAATTTATATTGAAAATGAAAAAAATATCAAAAGATATTATGATAAAAAATTTCAAAGATTCTATTTATTATTAGTCTTAATGAATCAAAGTCTTGACTCTTGAGGATAAACCTAAGGGTGGGAAACTTTTATAGACTTCCTTTAGTTTGACATGTTCGGTTTTCAAGATCAAACAGATTCCAAGACTTCGATTTTATCTGTTTCAACAGTGTGAATATATTTTCTAGGTGCAATAATTCTAAATATGAGGGTTCACATCTGATTAACCGTGTAAAAGATCTTTTTCCTCCATTAATAATGGTTCTGTTCTGGATCAGTTCAGTTTTAAATAACTTACTAGGTTTTGATCCGCGTTTGAGAAGCGCAGGTTTTGTTTTGGTTGTAACAAAATATATCAAATGATTTGATTTGTATATATGATAGTTTTATATGTGAAATTTGATGTATATTTAACCTTTTAGTAGGATCTTTTCATTGAGT